CCGGTTAAATGAGCCTGATAAAATATGCGTTCTCGAGGAGCTTTTTGTTCGCGTTTCCATCGATACAACGTGTTTCTGTTGCTTGTTTAAGACCGCTAAGCGGTGTCCCGGAACGAGATTCTGTGTGGAGAAAATCGGTGAAAAAGGAAGAAGATCTCGAGGACCGATAGCGCGGTCAATTTTATACTTCCTATGTATTCAGAGAGATTTTTTTCAGAAGCTAAATCTTTGGTATTAGACGTAATACGTATACTTACCGATTTTGTTTTCAGATTTTAGATTGGTCTTAAGTGTGGTCTTTATGGCGACTTCTCTAGATCTCCTCCAGAGAAACCAGGTTATCAGGTATTAAATTTCATATCTTATTTCATAGGTGTATGTAAATGGCAAAATTGTTTGTGAAATAATTCTAATAATCACTTATATATAATGCGAAAATGATGAATGAAAGAAAAGAAAAAAATATCGAAATATCGTGATACCGAGTAAGAATTTTGGAATCAAAAGAGAGATTCAACTTGAAATCCAGATTTCTCAAGAATAAAGATCCACTTTGACGAATACTAATAATGACCCATTGCTAATATTATTATTTGCCAACGTGTTATCTAACATTCGAAAAGCGATTTCCTTTCATTTATATACTTAGAAATGTATGGCGGCGCTTCAAACGCTTCAAGTGTTTTCAACGATATATAATAAAACCGACGAATGAAAGGATTCCTGAGAGTATTCGCAATTTTCTACGCGATTGGCATCTATTTGACTGACCTTCGATTACCTCGTGTAGTTTCCATCTATCTTCTTATCGTGCAATTTCCATCAACCACTTCGTTGTTTAAATTCTCGTCTCGTTTCGTATACGAAAAAAAAAAAAAAAAAAATAACGTTCTTGCGGTAATAAAAATTCGACGATGGCCGTTTTGCATAAAATGGTTATCAAGATGGAACAACAACGTTTATAATCCACTTTTACTGTTATATATATTTCCAACTTGCTCTTAGAATTTGTCGGTAAAATGGAAACGACGAATATCTTTGCCGTTGCCCTATTTTTCTCGATCGATTCTTTAATTTCACTCGAGCTGAATTTACATAGCTTCTTCGTTCCACGTCACCGATCATTACCATTGACGTGCACGCTATGTATATACCAACTTCGATTGAATCTTCATTTCAGGAGACAACTTTATTAGTCTCATCTTTAAGATCTTTATCGAGTATTAGGAATACGGAATTCTTTGATATTTTTATATTCTATTCCGAACCTTTCTGAAATACATTCATAAAACATTTTTGATAATTTTTGATCCGAATGATTTTTCTTCAAGAATATTTCTTTCAATTCCAATTCTACCCCCCCCCCCAAAATTCTCAGCTCCACAATAGGAAACCCTATATATTTCAGGAAATCTTCATATTCATAATCAATTTTTCTTATAAAAAAATTTCTCACGCTATCATACACGCTCACTCGTTTACCAATCATACAAATCTAATAACGTCGAAATGGCACGAACATTGCATAGGGACAAACTATTTTTTCCTATCATGCGTTTTCTCATAAGTGGCCAGGAAGAAGTCATGGTAACCGAGCAGAAATCGTGTATTACCGTAACAACATGTCTCTCATCGCCTTGATCACTTGTTGCGAGAGAGGTTCGATCTGTTTGATCGTCAGAATAAGAGATCCTCTTCTCCTGTGGATTTACAACCTTCTGGCATAGAGATGGACAAGAATGCAGTCCTTTGATTAAGAGGCGCTCGCACAGTAACGGTTCGTTAAGTGAAAAACGCGTTAACGCGCGCGATTTCTGACGATGGATCCGCTTCTGCTCGAGAGGGTACACGCGACAGAACGAGTGTATAACTGAAAGGCTCTTGGGGTTAGATCGAGTGGATGCGCGTCTGAATCGTGTCTAAGAGATTTCTAAGAGTTAGCTGTTTAATGACGTAGATTTTGCTTTGAACTCTTGAATAATATCATTGTAAGTCGATTCGTGGTATAGATATTGTAAGTTTATCTTTCGAATATAGCATACTGGATGTCGGATTTGGAGGAAAAAATTATAAACGAAGAAATTGTAATCCTTATCCGATATAAATTTTGATAACACTTACAGATCAACTTGCTCAATCCAAATATCTTAATCTAAACTATCTTGCTGGAAATTAAAACGAACAAGTGTTCAGGTATAAGTGGAATCGGATGAGATACTTTTTGCTGATCAAGTATCGGAATGATTTTTTATAATTATTGAACACACGAAATGTTATTCTTATTACGTCGCAAATTTATTAATAATTATAAGTCAATTCAATAACCAATTCATATTTATTAACAGATTCACCTAAATATCACTAAAACGAAGTCGTAAACACCTCATAAAAAGACCAAGCCCCGTTTCTCTCATCTGAATGCACAGAGGCTTCCCCGAGTAATTAACAAGGTGGACGTCGTTAATTGTTTCGGCGAAATGTATCACAGGATGCACGGTTATTTATTTAGCCAAGAAAGATCGTTTGAATGGACGAGACCTCCTTGGCCTTGAAAAGCCGCTCCAGAAGCCATCGAACTCGAGGATCGAACAAAAGCAACTGGACGAGGCCACGTCCACCAAGTGACGAGTTGTCAACCGCTTTGGATACTGTTAATCCGATTAATTAACGAAAATAATCCGCCTATCCTTCTTCTTTTCCTTTTTTCCTCCCCCTCTCCCCCTCTCTCGTTGAATACGACGCAACAGATTGGAATTTCGATGCGATGGAAGCCGCCCCGTAATGTTGTCCCGCTATAACAACCGGTAGCGGACACGCAGTGTATCCTGAATACTCGGTGAAGGTTTCAGGATGCAGTGTAAGAGGACGAGCGCGTTTAGCGGCTGTGTGCTACCCGTTACCTAGTTATCCTAGCCCGCGGTTACGAGGATCGCGTTACGACCAGTCCCAGTGTCTCATCAGACATCCTACTGCACCCGTTGCTGCATCAAAAAATACGACCACAAAGGTTCCCGTGGAAAAATTCATCGATACCCGGCAACCGAGTTCTAGATACAGGGTATATCTCGTGCAAAATAAAACGACGTGCATCGAAACGGCGATACGAATAATTAATCGTCGTTGAATTTAGAATCAAAGATACGATTCTGGGAAAATTCATTGATATTCGATTTATATGGCGTGTTATGACGAGATATGACAAAATGTGTTTTTAACACTTTTAACGAATCGTATCTAAAATAAAAATAAAATACGAGGATACAGGATGAATAATGTTAGAGAGATTCTTTACGATGGAGTCGGCTTTCAGTGTAATGGGGACAAGATGCATCTCCATCCTTTATATTCGGATGGTACCTCTTGTATCAATATGCTGACTAATCTTGTCATAAAATTTAGGCTAAGATTCAGAGATCAAAGTCTTTTCAGATGCTTTAAAATAGTGTTGTTGAATCTACTTATACTTAAGGAGACAAATTTGCAGATAATAAGCTGCATCTGTTAATCGAATAGTTTATAATTATTTATAAAGGATCAACAAATGAAAATTGAAGGAAACGTTATCAATACCGTTCTCTTCTCTCCAAATGCATTGTAGAACACTCTGTATACCACAAGTTATGAGTTTAATCCCTTTCCATCCAATCGACGAGGTGCGATACGATCGTAGTTGATCTAACATCGGAACGAAGCTAGCCTCGCCTTCTTATCGCGAATAATACACCGATTAATTTTTAGTATGACATTATCGCGATGCGAAGAATTGGGCCAAGTCGGTGACCAAGCGATGATTAATTTAGCGGATTTTCCTCTCCAAGTCTCGAACAAACGTTAAACGAACGGTGCTTGTTCTACGCCTTTTCTCCACGAGATCATTGCCGATCCTCTTGCAAAGGAAATTGCCTTTTCTCGGTCACGGTAATTCATCATCATTTGCCTTCGAGACCAAAGGTCTTAAGGGAAATTTATGTCCCGTGTCTAATAAATATACACGCGTATCGACGTTCCTTTAACGTGCAATTTCCTCGAAGGAGAACTGTTACCGGAGCAGGTTTCCCGGTGTAGCGGTATAATTCCACAATAAGATCAACAATCGGCGAGTAATTAGATGATTCGAGGGGACTTTAGAATGGGGACTTGGTCGTGAAACATCCGGTACCATTTTTGGTATTCTTAAAATACCATCGAACGTGTTCCAGTATCTGTTTATAATTAGTCTTTTTCTTTTTTTTTAAAATAAGTTATCAAACGACAGGTGTTTAATTAATTCCTTTGAGAAACTTGAAATGGGGACCGGTTTGCGAAACGTCCGGTAGCATTTCAGCTTCGATGTTCTTAAAATATCGGTGACGATACATAGTTTCTATTTATACGTTGTAATCATCGTACACACTGATTCGTGTAATCTTATCTCAACTTTTAGAAAATAATAGTCAATCTTGCGATTTTCTATCTTTACACGGTAAAATAATAACGGGGAAGAAGAAAAAAAAAATAATTAAATACAGTGTGTAAACGAGATTTCAATCATCGATTATCATCGAAAAGGAATCTTCAGATTGTTTCGTGGGCATAAATTAAAATTATTTATCGATCGATCGATCGATCGATTACACAGTAATTAGAATTTAGTAACGATTTTTATCCGTATCATTCTAATTAAACTGTCTTTGCATTTCAGATTTTACCGTAAGACGATTTTATATCCCGATAAACGATAATTAATTTTGTTCAAAGAGTCGTAAAATGAAATTTCAGAAAATTATTATTAATTTGATTAAACAATTTTTAAATATTATTAATTATTAAATAGAATTTATTTAATATTAAATTAATTTTAAATAAAATTTAACGATGGTATAACATTTGAGGAAATTAATACGACGGAAGAAAGAAGTGTTATATCACATTGAATAATGTAAATATTTCGTGGAACCTCTTTGGGCGAAAAACAATATAACTTTCGACGATTCGAAGAACTAGAATCGTCGAAACTGTTTACATATTATATCGCTCGCTACTGTTTACATCATTCTACGATTCGACTCATTCTGCGCGTTACCATCGTTGCGAGCAAACGTAAGTCGAAACAAATTTAATTGAAATTAGTTTTAAATTTTAATTGAAGTAATAATATTAATTAACACAAAAATATCTTAAAAAAGTATTCTAATTTTCCAAATATCCAATCTTGCTTTATTTATTTTTAATATATTTTGTTAAAACTTTTGTTAAACGAAATTCATATATTTGATCATAAATTTGTTCAAGCAAGATGAACATCGATCCAATTCGTCGAAACGTATCACCGCTTACGTACACCTCTCAATCATCCCAACATCTCGATGATCAAGAGCTCTTCAAACGAAATACCAGAAGCTCTCAACCGGTCGATAAAGCATTCAGCAAATCGACCGAACCATGAACCTTTACAATCGGCCGACGAAGTGGACTTTAGGTCGATTCTCCTTGTAGATTCGCCTAGTTTCCTGCCACGATCAACGAACCCGATCCTTGAGAATCCAATAATTGGCAACGTTCCATCGATCGTTTCCAACACCACGGTGGCGGCCTGCCTCTTGGAAAACGACGCGCCGTTCCAGGGAATCGAGTGTCGTACCCGTTTCGATTAATCTTGCTGGATATAGCCTCGAGGGAGTCTCGTCTTGTCCAACACAGTTGCAAAGGGAACGAAAGGTGGATAACAGTCGAAGTTCGAGAGAATCGTTTCGACGTGGTCGACTCGAGTAACGGGCAACAATTTGCCAATTGATTAGCCGTGTTTCTTTCTCCTCTTCTTCCAAGCGGAATCCAAGCCTTGAGGTGTTTCCTCGTTCCAGATTTTCTGACACAAAGACACACACCGAGAACTCGAGCAATTTTATGGAGAACTGATTCGCAAATTGGCCGTGTTCCTCGATCTTGCTTCTTTCTTCGTTCCCTCGACGATTGGACGTGTCTCAGTTGTAAAGGTAGGATGGTCGAGCAAAGGAGAAGCTTATTGAAATGACGCGAGAAATAACTCGTTCGAAAATCGTCGAACATCTTTCCATTTGCTTCTTCTTCTCGTATATTCTCTTTTTCTTTGTCCGAGGATCGGTACGTTTGTTGCCAATTCCTCTCGTAAATTCAATTTGCCGTTTCATCAAAGTCCTGAGAAACGAGCTGGTATTTTTCACCTTGCTCGATAATAACACGAGTTGCGAATATGAAAGATGATATCGCGCATAAACTCGAGGCTAGGCTTTTCGTACCATTCGACACGAATCTATTAATCAAACGAGTGATTAACGCGCGCTTCGATTTTTCCGTAATTTTCATGCACTTTGTTGTTTCCCAAACGCCGCTGTAAAGTGCGATGAACCCTCTTTTGTGATCTATCGTTTCGCCGCGGTTTCTATTAATCAATCAGCTGATTAATTAATCAACGAGCGGCTACATCTGAACTTCTTTTTCTTTCTATTATTTATCCGACTTTTTGTTCTCGGAAGGATTGTTCGATCCATTGCCCTTCTACTCGCGATATTCAATCATGATGTATTTTTCTTCTTCTTTCGATTAGCGATACTCTCTCAAATTGGCAGGAATTTTCTTTTTTAGCTTATTACTCGAATTAATCCATCATTGCAATAATAAGATCTCTCGAAGCAAACAATCGTCGCAAGAATCTTTGTTTTCGAATCGACAATCTAGATCGCGTCCTATGAATCGTTAACATCGATCGATACAAGTGCACGCGTTACTTTCAGATTAATGTTCGTTTACCGTATCGAGCGATTCAACCACGTGCTGGAGAAATAATTTATTACTCGGCAATAAATTCTCTAATTCATTCGTTTTTCCATCTGGAAAATAATTTCCATTCTCCATCCAATTTTCCTTAGTTTGGCTTACTATCCTTCGAAAACTGCCTTTACGAGTTTTAAATCGGTGAACACTTGAAGTAACTGCGGGTCAAGTAACATTACTCGCCTTTATTACCGGTAATACGTTTCTTCTCCCTCGATCGTGGCTAAAGGATGACTCGAAACTGTGCTAATTTAGACGTGTTAATCATTTTATTGACATAACGTTATGTGTGCGAGTAGTCTTGATGGAACCTAAATTTTTATTCTTCGATTTTTTTTTTTTGCGATTGAATGATCGTGGAAAGCATTAGCGTTTGCAATAAGTTCATCATGATTCGCTTAAGTAGCTAGTAATAGATTCGAACAAACGAAATTTCACGATTAACTGTTAGAATTTTGTGTGCATTATTTCTATATCGAGTATTCGATAAACTTCCACTAGAAAATCATTCGCTTAACCAAAATCAATTACGCATTTTAAAAAATAATCGCAATTTCAAATCGTTTTAAAAATTACGAGAACAATAGGAATTTCGAGTCGTGTTAAATATCGAACGCGCGATATCTCTGATAAGAAACGGTAAGCGATCCATTAAGAAAGGAGAAGAGAGCGGAAAATAGAAGTGTTATGATCGGGATTCAAATGTTATGGATGGGGATTTCGCGTTAAAGGATCGATCGCAGGTGCGCAGTCATGGAGGAAAAGGCACGCTTCTAACGGTATGGGCGACGGTATGATCGATTCGAGCGAGCAGGATACGGTTCCTTCCCGCACGGTTCGAACAAAACGAAACTCCCGAGGAACTCAGTTTCGAGGAAAATTGATACCTGCTTGTTCGAAACGTGGCGAGGATAGCCGTGTCAATTGGAATTCTGACGGAGAGCTTCTCGGAGAACAGAACTCGTAATCGTCGAGAAACTGGAGGAGTCTTATGAGGCTGTTTACGATTTGCTCGACTGGTTCGGTTTCAACTCATCGAGACTCGATATCAAATCGAACGGCTCGATGGGAATATCGCGTTTATTAAACGAAGAGTTAAAAAGAATTTGTTAAGAGTACGGGATTCTTATCAGGTCAACGTTGAAATTTGCATAATTAGTTGTTACATTTTGAGATGGTAGGATTAAATATTAAAAAGTATCTTCTGGGATGGGATAGATCACTTCAAGAAAAATTACAAGTTACTTAATTACGTTACATATATACATCGATATTATCTTGTTACACTATTGAATGATTATATATGAAAAATAATCGAAGAATTAGTCTCTTTTGCGAAACTTGCTAACTTTTTTTTTTTACTCTCGTGCAAGAAGAAGAATTCGCAGGATCAAGGGTGTCTCGTTATTCAGAAATCTATCACGTACAAACCATTAGGTATTTCGATCTCTTATCTCGAAAGAGAAGTTGCGATGCGAACGAGAGATTTATTAACTGGAAGCCAGTTACCACCTGTGTGGATCGACGAAACAATGAAGGTGGCAATTCATTTGCGAAATGGCACATGGAAAAGGAGATGAAGAGTTGGGGCCAAAATCATCCGGTTGGGGATTCGTTATTAATGGTTATTTCGCGTGGCGAATCGTCGGCCGATCTCGCGATCGCCGAGTAGATACAGACGTGCATTGTTCGGACGGCCAGCTTCCTGTGTAACACAGGCAACGAAACGAAAGTACTTACACACAACCGCCGGCAAATTACGCTCAGAAGAGGTATTTAGACTTAGGGTGAAAGAAAGAAAGAGCGAGATGATGAAAAAGGAGACGAAGATGTGTAACAGACGAATAAAGAGAAAGAAGAGGATGGTATAGGATGGTGGGTATGGACGTCCAACGAGATTTATCGTTGCGTAGATGCCGATGATGTAGATTAAAATAAACAGTTATAATATCCGATCCTCGCGGCCTGTGGAAAAAGGAAAGGGGAGTGGAGGGGGTAGGAAAAAGGCGAGCAGATAGCTTAACCATGCGAAATGAGATAACCGAAGTAACGTGGCTCTGTCCTATTTCCCAGGGCAGCACGTTCACCGACAGGATCCTTCCTTTTATCTCTCGAAGAATTCAATAGGCGACGAATATTCTTTCGAGATAATGATAATTTAATACAATTTTAGTTTGGACATTAGCGTGACAACCGGATCAAGATACTATTATATTTTTATTCGAGGCAATAATATACTGGTTTCTAATATTTTGATTGGCTAGGATTAAAAGTTGCGAAATAGGAGAGCAATACATAGAGTATATAGAAATTTTCATCTCGGCGAGGTGAATAGAGGAGACGAAGAGATGATGTTGCATTTCTATTTGATAGAATGTGAATATATTTGAGAGTAAAACTCTGGAGAGTTTGCTTGGCAATTTATTTATAGATTTCTTTTTGTATCTCTACATGGTATAAGACTCGTGATTATCTTTAAATCTAACTGGTTCACGGTTATCTTCTTTCTTTGGTAACCGTGTATTCCGTAAATAATCGGTTCATCATTAATTTGACGTTCAACGTACCGAGAAATCGTTAGATCTTTTATACTCGTTAGGATAAATCGGTACAATTTTTCATAATGAAATACTTCCTGGTGTAAAATTTTCATCTTCTCGCTTTTTATCTCATTTTACCTGTCAACAAACGAACGACCAATGCAACGTGTCACACGTTCCTATTCCTCTCTTCCTGATTGCTTTG